CACCTTAAGGACACTGGACATGGTGCCTGTTAATATTAGTTACATTTTGTAGAAACTGCAAAGCAGCAAGCATCTAGTACTATGCCTCTCCCACCTCTACTCATTGCTAAATCCATTCAGTCTTGGTTTTGTTCAGTCCTGAACCCAGGGCCTAGGCACTGTCCTTCAGCTTTTTTGCTCAAGGCTGGCAACTTACCCTAGCACCACCTCTGACTTTTTGCTAATTAATTGGAAATGAGTCTCACAGACTTTCCTGCCTGAGCTAGCTTTGAATCACAACCCTCAGATTTCAGTCTTTGGAGTTGCTAGGATTTCCAGGGGTGAGCCACCAGTGCCTGGTCATTCTTGCTCTTTTGTTTGACATCTGTTCTGCAGAAAGAAGATCCCAAAGACAACAAACATCAGCGAGCTGGAAGTCCTGAGTCAAATCCTGCTATGCTGCTCCATCCCTGTGTAAGCTTGGACCAGCCACAGCGCTGTTCTGAGTACATTTCCTCTGCAGTGACAGAGGAAGAGCTGTCTCACAGTACAAGGGAAGAACAAACATGGGTGAGCACGTAGCACAAGCCCTGCCTATAGAAATCACGTGCTCAGCTCCAGAATGACTCTAACCTCCAATCCTGACCTTGCAAATGTAAAGAAGATGGACAACAGGAAAGCCAGCCCTTCAAAGGCCCTACCCTAGCAACACAAGTGAGAAGCAATATTGAAAAATCACATTTGGATGTGAGTAATTAGGTATACTGTTTGGGGTTTTTGTTGATGATGTTGTGCTAGTCCTGGAGCTTGAACTCAGGGCCTGGTTACTGTCCCTGACCTGTTTTGCTTAAGGCTATCACTCTGCTACTTGAGCCACAACACCATTTCTGGCTTCTTGATGATTAATTGGAGGTAAGAGTCTCACAAACTTTCCTGCCCAGACTGTATCCTCAGTCTGGGTAGCTAGGATTATACCCATGGGCCTCTAGTGCCCAGCTGTACTTTTAATATAAACCAGCAGAATAGCTGGGTGCTGGTGGCTTTAAGCCTAAAATCCTGGTACTGGAGAGGCTGATTTGAGGATCACTGGTAAAAGCTAGCCTGGGCAGAAAAGTCCATAAGGCTCTTTAACTAGCAAAAGAGCTGGAAGTGTCTCTAGTGGCAAAGTTCTAGCCTTGGTTGAAAATACAAAGGAGAGCTTGAAGACCTAAGTTCAAGCCCCAGGACCAGCATGCATGCGCACACACACACACACACACACACACACACACACACACACACACACACACACACACACCAAATAAGTAAAAAACTCAGCATGTATTACCCCACAGAGAAAATGTACATAGTTCATCTCAAAAAGAACTGTTAATTTCTATTGTGTACTGAGACCGTAATCACCTCATTAACTGGAATTTTTGTCCTGCCATTTAAGACTTGAGACAGAAACAAAGTCAATTTTATATTTTTTATTTAAAATAAATTTACTAAGAGCGTCCTTGGTGCTTGTCCTCACAGAAGATCAAATGTCAAAGTGCCTGACATGTCACCTCCTGTCTTACACAAACTGTTGACCCAAAGTGACATTTCCTATCACCACTTTCTAAGACAACACAGGAAATATCAAGTGAATGATCAAAAGAAATTAGGATGACCAAGCCTGTAAAACAACCTGAGTCCGTTAAAAGAAGAAAAACAAAATCATGTCTGAATGAATAATTCATGATTCAGACAGCCCCCAAATTTAATTGGCATTATCTATACTACTAAAGATTTTTTTAACTCACTTAGGAAAGAGTTTTTATTTCCATGAAATTGGATCTTTGGTTCAAAATTGAATCTCCTACTAAAAACTCCAGTCTATAAAGATGATGTAATAGTGGGGTATGCTCTTAACATTTCATTGCTGGGAATATAAATGAAATTGATCTGATTATTTGCCAAATAATGTTACTCCAGCCAGGCTCTGTCCTGTCCTAACTGGGCGGTCAAAAAAATAACAAAAAGCAGACACTCAGTATTAAAGTTGCATTTTCTAGCTTAATCTTGCAAGATTCATATTCAGCCATGAAGTCAGAATGCATGGAAAATTGATTTGTCCTATAGTTGATTAGAGGACCTTTGTCTGGAAAAAATAAGCAAAGCCTAAGGGGTCAGACCTTTTGGCAAGTCGAAATATTGACTAAAATGAAAGAAAACACAACCTGAATGGAACTACATGCTGTTCCTTCAGAATATTGTCACTATCATTCTCCTGACCTTGGTAAGCTTTTTTTTTTTTAAGTGGCTACAATTCTAAAGAATCTAAAATTTATTTCTTTTCTCTCCTTCTTTCCTTTTTTCTTCTACTTTCTCCCTTTCTCCCTCTTCCTTCCTCTTCCTTCTCTTTCCTTCCTACCTCCCTCTCTGTCTCTGTCTGTCTCTGTTTTTTTTCCTCTCCCTCCCCCCTCTTTCTTGTGCCAGTATCGGGGCTTGAACTCAAGGCCTCACACTCCCACTCGGCTCTTTTCCAATCAAGGCTGGTGTTCTACTACTTGAGACACAACCTCCACTTGCAGCCTTTTGCTGGTTAATTAGAGACCATTAGAGATTAATAGTCTCACACACTTTCCTGACCAGGCTGGCTTCAAACCAAGATCTTCCATATCAGCCTCCTAGATAGCTAGGATTACAGGTGTGAGCTACCAGTGCCTGGCTAAGAAATATAAAATTTCTAATAAACAAAAACTTTTTTCTTCCTGAATTTTAAAAAATCGTTCTGTAGGGAATATGATACTCTGCATCCCATTCAAAGCTACTCTTCTCACTAATATACTACTAAACTCCTAAAACACTAGCTTAGGAAGGACTTACAGGTAAACAAATACAAATGACAATAGGATAAAAAGTTATCCAAAAAATCTCAGCATAAATTTGTAAATCAGCAAAGACAGAGGCTGCAGAAGTAATTCAATGGTAGAGTATTGCCTGGCAAGCACAGGCCTTCAATCTACTCCTTGTACCACACACACACACACACACACACACACACACACACACACATAAATTTACTATCAATTTTACTCACTGGTGAAGCTCAAGAGTAGAATGCTTGTCCAGTAAGGTACAGAGCCCTGAGTTCAATTCTCACTCTTGCAAATAAACATAACAACAACAAAAAGAGAGATGCATATCCAAAATTCTAACCTTTCTTTTTTGTTTTTTGTTTAATTTTTTTTTTTTTGTCGGTCGTGGGGCTTGAACTCTAGGCCCGGGCGCTGTCCCTCAGCTCTTCAGCTCAAGGCTAGTGCTCTACCACTTGAGCCACAGCGCCACTTCTGGTTTTCTGGTGGTTAATTGGAGATAAGAGTCTCACAGACTTTCCTACCTGCGCTGGCTTTGAACCACAATCCTCATATCTCAGCCTCCTGAATAGCTCGCTTTACAGGTGTGAGCCACCGATACCCAGCTAACCTTTCCAAGGAAATAAATCAAGCCATTACAATGACAACAGAGGAGTCTGAGTTTATTCAAAAAGTATTTACTGAGCCCTTACTATGAGCCAGGTAGTGTCTTAGGTGCTAGGAATATATTGCGTTGATTAAAAACATAGAAAATCCCTGTCTTTCATTGTGCCTCTAGAAGGAAAGATACAAGACAATAAACACAATAAATAAGCAAATGACATCGTAAGTTAGAAGGTAGTAAGTACTACAATAAAACAAAATAGAGAAGTTTTGAGCATGAATGACAAATTTTATCTGGAAAAATTTCCAAACCACACTAGAACTAAGCCTATATTTTTGTATAAGACAAAAGAAATTATTTCTTGCTCTATGATGTTTATGAGGTCTGTGTGTGTGTGTGTGTGTGTGTGTGTGTGTGTATGAAGCTTGAACTCAGGGCCTGGGTGCTATCCTTTAGTTTTTTCATCAAGGCTGGAACTCTACCACTTGAGTCACAGCTCCAATTCTGGCTTTTTGCTGATTAATTGGAGAAAAGAGTCTCATGGACTTTTCTGCCCAAGCTGGGTTCAAATCACGATCCTCAGATCTCAGGTCTTCTGAGTAGCTAAGATTATAGGTGTGAGCCACTTGGTACCACACTGTTTATAGGATTTTTCAACCAAAAAAAAAAAATGAGAGAGATTTTAACAATATGACAGAAGAATTCAAAACTTGTGAAAGGTAACTTTCATATAATAGATATTCAATATAGAGTTCTTGAGGCAGTGAAATCTGTTTACTGCAGCAGTAGAACCTTCAAGAGTTCTAGGAAATTCCATGATTCTGGCCACTCTATCAACCAGTCTGTCTCAAAAGTCAAGTCGGCTTGAAGAAAGGCTGGTAGGGGCAGACCACATTGTAGAATTCAAATCGCTTTGAGATATTTTTAAATCTCCACTTCCTTTTATAAATAAAGCACCCTCTTTTTCTTATTTTGTTGAAGCAGGGTGAGTTCATTAAAAAGGAACACTGGAAAAACATGGAAATGCCCACATTCCCAACTCCATCTTTTCTCCAACTGTTTTCACTGAATTCATTTATCATGTATCCCTAACCCTAACCCTTTCCACACTTATCAGATGCTGACATGCTGACACTAAATTAACAGGTAGATTTTTAATCCTTTGATCTCAATTCAAATTTCCATTCCACCAACGCAATCAAAACCACCAACATCTAGTTTTAGCCTCTGGGTAAATTAGGTTCTCCAAGTAAGAAATGAAACCAGAGAATAAATGACATTGTCATCTTCAATCAGAAAGTCATTACTTTTAGCAAAATGGAACAGAGACAGAAAGGTCCAGGATAAAGAATCAGGAAACAGGAGTGTCCACCCAAGGGACACTTTTAAATACATCACTATGACAGCAGCCCTTTCCAGAGGTAATAACACCATTAGGTCATGGTAATTTTCTAGAGACCCCAGCAGCCCCAGATGAAGAACATCTGGACATGGTTCAGATGATACAAATGTCTGTTTCCTGATGTTAAGGTTCCAATCATGTTGCTCTGTTTCATGGATCACCTTTTTTTCCCCCAAAACCTCCTCTCAGATCAGGAAGTATACATAAAGTGCAAGTGGGATTCACTCCGATGTCCCAGGATCGTGTTTTGATAGTTGGTATCCCCAAGTCTGTCAATTAAACTGCTGGCCAATGACGATGAAGTTAGAAAATGAGCTCATCTGGTGAAGAGGGCGTCCAAGGTGGGTGCAGACCTGGCAAGAAGACGCACTAGACAGGGGTGGGAAGCACGCAAGCAGTAGCGGGGATTTATGGTCACTTGAGGAGGCCATCTTTGGATTGCAACTCTTAAAGAGAGTTTAGGAACCATTCCAAAATGAATGAAGCCAGCAGATTTCAGAGCAGTCAATCTTTAGCAAGGGCAGATTCTGTTTTCCCTGGGTTGGAAACAGGAAAGAAAAATAAAGGGTCAAATTTGATGAGGTTTATATCAACTAAAAAGTTTCCAATAAATAACTTTTCTGTATGTATGTGTGTATGTATGTATATATACATGTATTTATTTATTTAGTGCCCGGCATGGAGCTTGAACTCAGGGCTTCAAGCTATCACTTGTCCTTTTCAAACAAGGCTGGCATTCTACCCCCTAAGCTGCAGCTCCACTTCCAGTTTTCTGATGCTTGATTGGAGACAAAGTCTCAAAGACTTTTCTGTCCAGGCTGGCTTCAGACCTCAGATCCTCAGATCTCAGCCTGCTGAGTATAGTTAGCATTATATGTGGAGTGTCACAGCTCCCAGCTGACTTCTCATTTTATAAAGCAACTTAAGCCTTCTGGTAATTTTGCAAAAGGTGTCATGATAGGTAAACATCAAATGGTTCATAGGCTAGGTAATGTCACATACATTTCTTCACTGCAGACTTTTTTCTTTCTGGGGCTGGGGATTAAACCTAGGACCCTTTTCCATGGTAGGCAAGCACTTTATAACTGAGTTATAATCCCAGCTTTTATATTAAGACTACTGAGGGCCTTAGTGAATGGCAGTGTCATATTTCAGGAGAGGGATTATGTACAGTCTGCAGCATGTCCCGTATTTGATGGGGACCAAAAATGTACCTTTTCATTAACCAACTTGGCAGGATCTATATTTTAGTGCAATATTTTCATTTTGTTTTGAGATAGTCTTATTACGTAGCCCAATCTGAGCTCAAATTTATGATCTTCCTGCCTCTGCCTCTTAGTGTTGGGATTACAAATGGGCACTACCATGCCCTGCTTATTGCAACATATTCTGGGAAATGTTGCCTTACAATATTGGTGAGAGAGGACTGGAACATTAAGTAAGACTCATTTTATGTTACACAAGCCATTTTAAATCCAGAGTTGTAATCCTATGCCAAAATACTAAATTGGTCATTGTAGCTGGGTTCCATTATTTTTGTGATATGCCAAAAATCACGATCCAAATTTAATATTGCACATGTATAGCTGACATTGATGACAAAAGTTAATGTCTATTATAATCACAATAAGTGGGCATCCTCAAGTGACATTCTTTACATTCTTTTTTTCTGATTACACCCATCATATATGAAGCTAAGACACAAGTGAGATTAAACATAGTACATTATAAAAATCAATAAAATGCAAGTTATAAATTAACTTGATCACAAGCCACAGAAAATGATTAAACACGTACTAGTTAAACTCCTGAATTTCTTTTTGGCTTCTGCCCTTTCTTCTGCATCAAAGTACCAAACAGTCATAGCATATCTGTGAACAATAAACAGGTATTAGAACTGAGATTACAAAGAAAAAAACCCAACTTATTATGAATCTCACATTTTTAAAGTCATGTGTTAAACCAACCCTTGACATTTTACCTATCATTCCAAGCCCACCCCTATTTTCATTCAATAGCAATTGCTCTGGTTTCAACTGTGTGTCCATGGAAGAAAATACATAAGGACTCCTAGGTTGTGTGGCAGGTATTACCCGAGCGAGAAGAATTCAAATGATCCTATCAACAGAATCTTCCTTGAGTTCCTCAAGAATGTCAGGCCCACATAGGGAAGACAAAGATTCAACAAATTATTACAAGGAACTATGGCCTCAATAGAAAGGACTAGAAAGAATTCATTCTGTTAAAGACTGAGAGGCTCCAGTGGACATTAGAAAACAAAGCAAAGCAGATGAACGTGAGTGAACCTTTGAAAAATAACTTGGTGACATCACAGAACAATGAAAACTCATGGCTTTCTTTGTCCAGTTTGGGACACTGAGGTATGGCTATAATTTAATAATGATGACGTCAAGCTTCTACTTTGTTCCAGTGATTTGCCTTATCAGCTCCATGAGCTAGACTCTAATGGGAACTATTTCATGCATGTGGTATTTTTTAAGATTCCTTTGTAACTAGCCACAGTAATTTTTACAGCACCTCACTCCTTCCTTCTCCCTACCAAGGTCTTCCAGTCAACCTTTGCCAATGTTTTTCCTGGACTAGGTCATACCCAGAGAATTCTGCCGCAAAAGACAGGTTCCAATGACTGAATCCCATAAAGGAAGCCACAAACAGACTTTGGTGGTAGAATTAGAGAAGTGTTCCTCTAGAGTACACTACAATTTGGTATTGAAATGCAATTCTGTTTGGGTTTCAGTGCAACTTGGAGATGTCTGGATGGGGACACAGGTGACTTTATCGAACTAGACTTGTTAAGGTTTTCATTCCAAAGCTCATATCCTGCCCTCAGCTACTATTTATACTATTATTCCTCCTAATTACACCCCTATCTACTTCATATCTCTGGCCACACAATAAAGGTAAATAAGAGGCAGAACTGAGAAGATTTTATCAGGATCCCCTTTATTAATATTAAACATCACTAAGTTGTTCAATAACTGAAAACCACATCCATGTGTTTAAAAAAAATGTATATGTAGGTATCAGTGGCTCACACATTTAATCTGAGCTACTCAGGAGGCTGACATCGGAAGGTCAAGGTTGAAGGCCATCCTGAAGAGAAACGTCCTTGAGACCCCATCTTCAATTAACCATCAAAAAGGCAAGCTAGAGGCATGGTTCAAATGGTAGAGCATCAACGATGAGAAAGAAAACTAAGCAAGTGTGAGGCCCTGAGTTCAAGTCCCAGTACCATCAAAAAAAAATGTAGAAACTTCTTCCACCTTTTGAGATATGGATACATTTAACCTAGGCCAATATTAAGCTAAGGGAGGGATAAAAAGGAATCAAAACAAAAAATATTCTTCCCTTTCTCAGCAATCTTTTTATGCTTGTAAGTAATGTTTTATAAACTTGCCTAAAGTGCACAGAATTCCTGATCTGTGATGGCCAACATTTTCTATGTTAATGTTTTTAAAGTGGAGGAGAAAAGGGAAGGCAAACAAGGAGAGAAAAACATAGAAATCTGGAATCCAATAGGCTCACCTAACAGAAAATAATAATCATTATTTTAAAGAAATGTTAGATTTGTATACTCAAGACTCCCACGTTTCCCCTTTAATTCTTACTACTACAAACAAGTCAGGCTATCAGCTTTAGGGTAGAGCCAGTCTCTCCTACGCACAGATGTGATAAGTTTAGAGTTTTCTGGGAACTGGGGTTTGCATCATAAGCCCCTCAACGGGAAATCGGGCCTTGACTATTACCTGGTTGCATAGGAAGGCTGGACTTCATGTGGGTTCCTACGATCTGACCAGAAGAACAGAAGTCTGTCAAAAATGGGCTCCACATCAGCTATGAATGACTTTCCTTCTGGAAATATTCTCAGAATCCCACCATGCAACTGAGGACAAAACAAAGTAGATTAACTTCCAGGCCTCACAGGCAACCATGGTAGTTTAGTCCCAACTAGAAACCACAACACCTTCTAAACGCCAAAATAATTTTTTTTGTTGTTTTTGTTTTCAGTGCTGATCCTGGGGTTTGAACTCAGGGCCTGGGCTCTGTCCCCTTTTGTGCTCAAGGTTAGCATTCTACTACTTAAGCCCACAGCTCCATTCCAGCTTTTTGGTGTTTAATAGGAGATAACAGTCTTACAGATTTGCCTGCCTGGGCTGGCTTTGAACTGTGATCCTCGGGTCTCAGCCTCCTGAGTAGCTAGGATTATAGGCAGGAGACACTTTGTCAGCTAAACTCCAAAATTTTAACTTTAACCTCCTACTCAGTATCAAATTTTATCTCTATCTTAGCTAGAGATACTTTTCTTACACACAAAGGTCTTCTATCTCTACAAAGAGGAAATACTGATTACTATGAGATTACTTCTCGTACAAGGGCCAATATCTAACTGTTCAGACCTAAAACAAAGTAGATAAAATCCCAAATCCTACTAGCAAGTTCCATCTCCTATTAACATCCTAAGAAATTTACCACACAGAACTTCCCTGCCATTACAATTTCTAGTTTTCTTCAGAACTCTTCTTAGTCCTATGTGATTGTGTTGGTTAAACATTATATATTCTTTTCCCTGAGCTCTCTCAAGCCACTTTATCTGCACCTTTAATAATATATAACACTCTCTTGAACTGATTTATTTTTTTTAACTGTGTATTCCCAAACTGTCCTACTAGATCTACATTCTAGGTGGAAATCAAGCCTCATCCATCACAGCACAAAGCCTACCATAGCAGAAACTCCAATATTTGTTGATTCCACTCTGGGTAATACACTATTACTGACCCAATAACTTCACCCAGCATAGTACCCCTAAGAATTTTAAGAGACTTTAATGGATGTACGTCAGTCATGTGACCAAATAAAGATAAGCTTTTTCACTAATCCATTGGTTTTCTAGCTATCATTCTTTGGACCCCAGATACAATATTGCTTTATGACATCTAGACTCTGCTCTCATGAACAGGAAATGGAAATGAAGAAGGTTCAAAAAGTCAAACAAGCTTGTAAAGTTCTCTGACTTCTCAGACTCCTAAATCATTCTGAACTTTCGGAGCACATCCAAAGTCCAGCCAAATATTCATAAGCATGGATGCAGACTTCATGTTGCAGTCTGTGTATATCAGCTAAAATGCAAAAATGACCCCCCCAAAGCCTCTGGCATTCACAAACCATGACATCTAAGTATGACAACAGGCCATGGCTGAGCTGCATGGCTGTGTGGGAAGTCTCTCTGAAGTGGTTCTATATTCTACAGTTCTGTTTTTGCAGACATCTTTCAATATTACTTCTGGAAGGGAAAAGCATGTATACTACTATGCGTTGAGATCACTTCAGCTCTGAATTAGACTATAAAATTCATTCTTAATCCTAACATAGTTAGTTATCTTTTCTTCAGCCATACTCTCCACATTTTAACAATCACCTACCTACATTCCACCAAATTAATTTCTTAGTCACTTTTTTTAAGAACCTTGCTCAGGGTCTTGTACTTTAATAGGCTTTCTTGCTCATGGCTGGTGCTCTTCCACTTGAACCATCCCTCCAGTCCAGATTTTTGCTGGTTTATTGGAGCTGAAGTTACACAGACTTTTCTACCCAAACTGGCTTCAAATTGTGATTCTCTCCCTGAGTAGCCAAGATTACAGGCATGAACCACTGATTCCTGGCTCACAGTCATAATTTTTACCTCACGAACTCTAACTAGTTCAATAGGTGAGAAAAAGAGAAAATACAAACAGATGTAGAAATGATTCAAAAGCTGGAGACAGGGCTGGGAAGGTGGCTCAGTGGTAGAGCGCTTGCCTTGCATGCCTGAGGCCCTGGGTTCGATTCCTCAGCACCACATAAG